AAAATATTATTTTTATCATAAATATATAAAAAATATAAAAATTGATATTAATCTTAATATTAATTTTAAGTTGATGAAGTTAATTAAACAATTAATAAAAGTCAATTTTTATTTTTTCCTATAAATCAGATAATTTAATTGATATGTCTTTGTTGCTTTATTAATTTTTACATTTTTCTTTCGTCTTCTTCTTAATTTTTTATTCAATCTAGTAATTTGTATTATCACTTTATAGTCTATGATGTTATTGTGTTTTATAATTATATTTTCTATAATTTGATACTTTCTATAGTTTGATACTTTGATTTTTTATCTAATTAAAAATATTCAAAATACTGTTAGAAAACTAATAAGTTGACCAAACAACACCAATTGAATCTAAATTGAATTAATTTAGTTATAATATAATAGTAGATTAGATTAGCTTATAATGTTCACTAAATAATTAAAAGAAAAATGGAAAAACAGGACGTCCTAATATCTCAGGACGTTCTTGTTTTTCTGGAAACCCATAATTAAATTAGTTTGGTTATAAAATGTCAAAATCTGATCCAATCCATGCTGCAAACACCCCTAACCATAAGCATCCTTGTTCTTCTAGCATTCCCTAACTATTCTTATTTTTTTTTTCCTTTTTTCTTTTTTCCCTTGGTGTCTTTGAAAAATTTCTCAAGTTTATTAAAAAATTAATTGTTGAAAATTTGTGTGCAAGTGTTCACCCTAGCTCTAATTTGAATTAATTACCTAGTCCATGTCGAGAAATTTGGCCCATCAGTGGCCTAATTTGTATGCTGCTAATTAAGAAATTAGCTTTAATTTGAATCCAGTTGCTATTGACTAGTAAGTTAAGCGACTCAAGCCAAATCCATCTACAACTAAGAAATAAGAAGGAAATTAAAGAAAAATTAAATGACTTGAGCTGAGGGCCTATACATCAAAGAAAATATGATATATTTGCTCTACGTGGGAGAACTGGAGAAGACTTATTCCTGGCCTAAGATGTACATTTCTTAGCTTATCTTACTCTAAAGAGATAACATTTCATATGCCAAAATCCTTATTAATCACTGCCTAAGAACTTTAGTTAATGTATCTAACTCTCTTTTTTCTTTTTCTTTTTTTTTTTTTGTACATTTTATCATGAAAAATGGTCCACTGATATATATATAT